TCACATAATGACACTGGATGTCTGCAGTAATTTCCCCTGACCTCTGTATTACATTAGTAACATTTGCAGAAGTGGAACTGAGGTACAGAAAGATCTTTTGTTTTGTTTTGCTTTTGTCATTTCTTTTCATTAAGGCAGTAACAGGCTGAAATGGCTAACTTAAGTTGCCTAAGATTATACAAGCTACATGGTGGGGGGAGGGGGAAAGGGGGGAGGAGGGGGAAGAAAAGTTAACATGGTCTTTCCGATCCTCCTCCTTCCAGAAAGATTTGAGCGGTCTAAGGGGTCTCTCTACCTTGATAGAAAAGACACTGCCTCCGGGGCCACGGTTGCTTCTAGAAAGCGGTTGGATTAGAATGGAGGCGTCTGGATCCACAAAGGCCACTCACTGGCAAGTCACCCAGAGAGGGGCAAATGGCTTAACCTTCTTCATGAGTTTCAGACAGACTGTTAAAAAAGTAAACAATGCCAATGGTCTGCTTGATAATAGAACAGAGTATTAAATCATCGGAAAATACACAGAATTACTAGTTAATAAGCTGGGACTTAGAGAACTTAAACTTCGAGGCATAATCCACAGCCGTCTACTTTCTACTTGCATGATCTTGGTCTACTTAGGATTTTTCAGGCCTCAGTTATACTCTTGGGTAAATTGGAGGGACCCGTATCTACCCTGCAGGGTGACTGTTAGGGGTAAACAAACTAATGATAGGAAATACCTCATGGTGAAAGCCTTCAAATATAAAGTTCCTTGACTTCCTGAGGGGAAGAATTGGATCTTCTATATCTTTTTATTCCTCTCAGGATACCATCTTACTATAAACCAAGACGTATAGACATGACTAAATATTGTCCACATTGTTTTCTGTCACTCTTTAAATAGATCAAGGAGAAACTATCAAGGGGTTTGGGATTTATACACAAATATCCCAAGAGAGGCTTCTTGCTGATGGCTGGCACTCTACCACTGTAAGCCTCCCATCTGGCATTTTGCTAGTTCATTGGAAGTGGAGTCTTACAGATGTTTCTGTCCTGGCAGAACTAGGGCTGGCTTTGAACTATGATCCTCTAGGTCTCAGCCTCCTGAGTAGCTAGAAGTATAGGAGTGAGCCACTGGCACTGGGAAAAATTATATATACATATATTTTCCCCCTATATCTCATTTCTTACTAGCTGTCCCTTTGCAAATGCCTCTCTACCCATTATTCCCTTCATGACTATGAGAAATAGCAGGGCTTTAATACTAGCTGTGCCTTTTGCCTGAACAATCACTCTAATTGTTCAACTACTTCCTTACTCAATTTCTTCAGCCAGGTGCTCACATTCACCAAAGCTCTCCCCTTTGAATTTTTTACTTAAAAGCATAATCATCCTTTCAGCCTAAGAGAATCCACATTCCAGAGTTTTTGCTCCAATTTTTCCCATAGAATATGTTGTCATTTGATATACTATATATTTTACTTGGCTGCAAAAAAAATCATAATTTTCGTTGGCTTCAAACAATATAAATTTCTTGTCTATACTTCCAGAGTGGACAGCAACACACTCATCATTGGTATAAAATCAAGGTCTCAGCAGAGCTGCATTCCTATAGGAGAGAATCCAATTTCTTGTTTTGTTTTTTTTTTTTT